TCCGGGGGACCTCACCTTGGCACCGCCGGTATTCCCGCTCGTCTTCCTCGCCCGCGTCAGCCTTGGCTGACAGGAGCGTGTCCACAGCTCGCTTGCACTCCTGCAGCAGCACGGCCACGACGTTGTGATTATTCATGAAGGCTGATCCCGCTCGGCTGTGAACTGGGTGTCCCCGGGTGCACGGTGATCAATTACTTAAGAGAAGACACGGATTCGAAATGAAAAGGATCCCTTCAAGGCTGAGGTACCTGGCGAACAAAGGAGGGGGAAAATGATTAACTAAAGTATCATCAATTATCCGAAAGGCTCAAGCAGGGAGAAATAATAGGGGAAATACATGAAAATACATGACAGCCTCGGAGGACTCGATCAGAGGAGTGCGTGAAATTACTCTGGGGTCTCACAGACAAACAGGGCGAGGTGAACATCTCGGAGGTGCCAGGGAGAAAGGACGGGCCCTTCGATGGGGCTGTGAAACCCCGGGCGGGGAAGGGACCCGACCAGGCTTGCGCCGGGGAGGCTCCAAACTCACAGAAGCTGCTGTGTGTCGTTACCGGCCCGCGGTGGCCGTCTCTTTTTACCTGGGGCACGAGAGCAATGGCTTTCTCACCTCCTCTTGCGCTAACCCCACTCCTGGAACACCACACGGTTTGCTTGAAGGAAGTGGAGCAAAATCGGTTGTTGAAGAAGGACTTGTGACAGTAATTTTGGGACTGCTTCTACCCAAGGCTGGCTCTCCAGACATTGACCTGCCTGTCTCCCCTGCTGTATCTTTTCCTCTGCAAGTCCTTCGCGTGCTTAGGACATTGCAACTGGCAAAAAACCCCACACAGTTTCCATCCCAGGTATCTGGTTCAGCATCTGCCTAAATAGCCAAGAACAAAAGAAATACTGTGGGATGTTTTGGGTTTTTTTTTCCCCACCAATTTTGTGACAGTCTAACTTAAGAGAACTACTCCAATAGTTCCAAGCAACGCAGTGAGAAAGAGCTCCCGTGAAAACATTTCTAAAATTTGGGAAACAGTGAGGAGGAAGGGGAGTGCAAAGGAAAACATACACCTGCACAGTTCTCTCTGTGACTAGAAACAACCTATATTTCAGCAGCTAAATTGCCAGACCTTTTTTTTCCCTTTCTCTTGCAGCTCTGGGGTTGCTGGATCCCGGAGCTGGTGGCAGATAGCATTCTCAACAGCATCGAGTGAGAGCAAGCTGCCGGATGGAAAAGCAGAGGGTAAAAGAGATGCTCTCATGCGAAAGCAGAGAGGATCAGAGAGAGCCTGCCACGCAAAGGCAGGTGGAGCAGGGCGAAAGATGGGATTCATCAGCAAAAAGCCTGGAGGCAGGAGCTACTCAACGGGGCTGCGGCTGACTCTGCAGACAAATGTCAAGAAGAAATTTTAAGAGTAGCATCACAGAATAGAACCTCTTGAGCTGGAAGGGACCACTAAGGAGCGTCAAATCCAATTCCCTGAGTTGCAAGGGCGCAACATCATTCTGTGTGAATGATGTGTCGTGAGCGAGGGCTCTGAGGAGCAGCACAGGTTTCACTGCCCAGGTGGAGACTCTCAGAAAGCTGTTAAAAAATTACCCCCCAGCAAACCCAGTACAGTAAAATAAGCAATACAGGTCAGAGGTCTCATCACGAGAGCACGTTAAAGTCTGCACTCACGTTCAGCTCCAGCAAAACACTGAGGTGGGATTTCTGGTTTTTGTTCCCCTTCATAGCGCTGCCCAAGCTGATATTTCTACCTTCCTTTTCTTTAGTCATTTCTGTATAAGAAACGCTTTCCTGGGAGAGGATTTAGAGGTGTTTTCACAAAACAGGTGCACACGCAGGTGTCAACGCAGTCCAAGAATACAACTCGTGAGCATGGCAAAGTTAAGGGAAAGTCACAGACGCAGAATTTAGAGCTTAAGGGCTCTCCTAGCACTTCTCTCCCCATCCTGGTGCAGGACATTAAGAAACAAAGCAGAAGGAAAACCCACAGAAGGTTCTCCATCATTTTAAGCACCCAAGAAGAACAAGCGGGGCCACCCCACACCGGGCACAACACCCAGACAGCCGACGTTCAGGAAAAGCAGAGTCCTCTCCGCCTCCCCTGCCAGGTCTAGGAAAGCTCATCCAGTCCCTGGTTATCCGTCGGGGAGCAGAAGCGCAGCCCCCTCCGCTATAACCCCAGCAACACACCTACGCGAGCGCTGCTCGCTCCGTTAACCGCGCTGACATCTGCTAATTGATTTATCTGATTACCCAGCCCTGTGGGAAGGAGCGTGCGGCCGTCCCACAAGTACCTCCCAGGTTGGGAGGAAGCAACCCTGCCATCTGGCCCTGAGTCCCTTCCTTCGGGTAATTGATTTCTCCAAAAATCTCGTTTTTTCTAGGGAGTTCTCTTGAGGAAGCGCCGAGCACGCGCATGTAGATCAGATCCACTGTGAACGCGAGTCCCACCGAGTGGAGGAGGCTGCTTCCAGACCATGCAGAAGTGTGTTGGAGAAAGCCCACGTCCCACCGTCACCCTGGTAAGTGTAAGTTCATAAACACAATTTTCTATGAAGACGCACTAAAGCAAACAAGCGCTGAGCTCCTTGCCTTCACAAAAAAATCACGCAGCATTAAGAGCATCCACAGGAGCTTACAGAGCTGCTCCGACTTAGCTGTGCTGCAAGTCCAGAGCCCAAAATTAGTCTTTTAAACCCAGCTCATGGAAGGGCTGCAGCCTGGAAGATCATGTTGGGTCTTTACCTTAAGTAGGAGGGCCCCGTGGCTTTGTGAGCCACACAGGCTGCTGGTCTCACAAAGAACCGATGGGGCTTAGCGGGGAAGCTTAAATTAGCGTGGAAGTACAGCACTTGGCTTCTCAGGATTGTAGAGATTTAACTCACCAGGAAACTGCCAGATCTAGAAGACGGATATATGAATGTCAGCGAGCAAGAGATTTTTCTTCAAATACATTTTTTTTCCCCTAATGATCTGAATAAACAGCCAGGACACTTAGAGGAATAAGTAATGATTTACGACAGCGGCGACAACCAAGTGCTGGAACCAGATAGAAAAGCGCAATAAACTGTACATTAGTACTCAGAAGGAAGGCGGCCTTCTGAGCCCCATCACTGAGGGCAATGTTTCGCATCATAAAATCAGCTTAAAATGCACCACAGACCTTTAAACTAGAGCAGGATCCTTTACACAGATGCCACTTTGGAAGTTGTGTTTTGCGACAGCTGTGGCATTAAGTGACAGCCGGGATGTGAATATAACCAAGCACTCAGCTTACGGACGTGGGGCAAACACAGGACTGGAGACTAAAGCCCAAAAGCACCACCAAAAACTTCAAGAGGTTTTTACAACCCTCTCAATCTTTACTCAAAGTACCGTTAAATTCTAACAAACAGTTCTTGAAGGAGACAATCATTCTGACGTGATAAAAATTGCAGCCTGATACGCTGCAAAACTGTCTAAACAAAAACGCTTTCTAAGGACACACTAACAAATGCCGTAGCGACCACTTTCAAAACACATAATAAAACCACCTTTCCATCAGACAGAGGACCTAAGCATTTTTTTGGTCATAGGAAAGCTCCTGGACTCCAACTTCAGACACAGAGCACTTTTAAACGGTCGATGTAATTGTTAGACACCCTAAATGAAACGATGGCAAAAAAAAAAAAAATCACCTGTGCCATTTTTGGTTGGAGCCTGGATTAAAATAACTTCTTGCGTCAAAAATTACAAAGGTCTCGGGATGTGAATGTCTATTCCTGTGGTTGTCCGCTAATCGGAGCTCAGGTTCAGAGCAAGAGGGAGGGAGGAATTGGGTGGGCTACAGTGAAATGATCTCTTTAATGAAAACTGGGCCATACTGTGACATTTCAGAGCCCTTGGGCTAGAAGACCAAAAGATCTGTCAAGAGAAAGGAATTTGAAGTTCCGCAGTGGATAGCAGGCTGCCCGCGAGTGAATCTAGCTAGTTTAAGACTGCAATTAGCTTTGGAGGCTTCAAGAAGAAGAAGATGTAATTGCCACGTTCAAACTTCAAACAGGGCAAGCATAACAAGCACCGGTTTCTCGGACGACACCATTTGGGAAATTTGCCACAGCATTATGGTCCCGAAATACAAATTAGAGATGGCCAGGCCTTTTCTCTCTGAAAATATATTATCCTAATTTTCATCTTATTCAGGCTACCCTCCAGTTCCAGGGAGACTAATGAAGAGGAAGCAAAGACCTGATGAGTTCCATGTGGAGACTACATTTATGGATTAATCCCAACAGGGAGCAAATAAACCTTATTCCCAGAGCTCTCGGTTGGGACTTGACACAATCAATCGAGGAATGGATAGTTATTTATGACTGAGGCTGTTTTGACTTTCAAATAAACATTTTAATTATTTTAAGTGCTAGGCTGGAACTTAGAATCTGAGCCCTGTTTTCATTTCCATGCCTTGCTCTCCTCCCTCCTAATCCCAAACCACTCCGGTCATTATGATACCATGCAAATGATACTGATTGTCACGCCTAGAACATTTGAAAGTGTTTGACAAGGTAGAAGGAAAAAGAATGAGGGAAAGTGAGGCGCGGCGCCAGTATAAATGAAAAGAACAGCCTCAAACTACACTGGGCTTAAAGAAGCAGAGGTGCCCAACTCTGAAATCCCTTTATAACCTTGTTGGCACACCTTGATCCATCTTCATGTGATGCTTTCCTCCGCCTGCTCTTAGCAGCCATTTTTATAACCCAAGTACTTAAGAACATTTCTTTTTTAACAGCGCACCGCTTGCAATTCTAGCTTTTCCCTCCCGTCTAATTGTAGACCAGATTCTAGAATTATAGATTCTCATTCTATTTTTTCCGGGCTTCCCCGCACGCTTCAGCCATGCCGACATCACGTGGCGGGACAGCATTTTTAGTGCGCGCTGGGGTAGGAATGCTCACCTCCGACTCTGTCAAATCCAGTTTCCTTGTTCTAATCAAGTAAATAGCCGCTCAAAACAAAGATTGCAAAGAGCAGCACTGGTGTGCCGTGGCCTATCTACACGTCACTTCCCGGAGGTCTATGCAGCCACGCTAATTTTTGAGGGAGTTTTTTTTAAGCTGGTCTAGTTTCTTGATAGATAAGGAGCACAGGGGTGAAATCAT